CGTAGCCGGCTCGAGTGGGTAAAGCACCGCAACAGCTTAGCATCCCTGGCGCAGGGGCTGTGCCCGTGCCAGCTGCTCTGCGGGACCGGTCAGGGCTGGGAGTACGGCGTTTGACCGAGTGCCCAGGTCTCAGTCCTGGTTTTGCTGCGGAGGCATCGACGGCAGTAGCCGTAACCTCGATCTCTGATTTAGGGTAACTGGAAACACTGCAGTTTCTTAGGCACAGACTAGAAAACGAAGAGAAAGTGGAAACAGAACAAAACCCACATAACATGCTTTATGTCAGGCTCCTAAACCTGTTCGGGGAAACGTGTCTTTGTTTTCTAGTTGGTAACAGGTAAGATGTTGAGCAGCATTGACTCCGATAGCCCCTCCAGGCCCGTGAGAACAGCCACAAGTCTCAGCAAAACCCTACAAGCTTTATTGAAAGGATTCTGTTGTTCTTCTACCCTCCCAAAATTTTCCCACTAAACTTCTCTCCGTATTCAGGTGTATTTGCCAAATGTCTTTACAGCAGTTGACTTAAACATTCCCGTTACTCAAATGGCAGGGAAACAAATTTATAAAGCAGGCATTCAGATGGAGCCTTGCCATACGGGCTGGAGCAGCTCTACGAAGAGCCAATGTCTTTTGGGTATTTCCAAAATAAAGACAAGTATTCATTTAATTTCATTTAGGGAAGACAGAAGGAGAAGACAGCTGCTGGTTTTAGTCTCAATTACACTCGGGTTATTTTGCACAGCTCTGGTACCATCCAGGGACCTTAAAGCCAGTGCAGTTTACACTTAGGATTTCCTTCCGTGCCAGAACGACTGAAAGCGCCCGAACGAGGAGGAGAGCTCTGGCTTGTTTCTGAGGCATTGCCTGGCCCCTGAGGTTGGTGGTTATGCAGTAAAGGCAGTAAGGCCCGAGCCTGGGAGGCTGTGATGTGCCTTAGAGCGGGGACGTTGGCTCTAACCTCGTGCCTTTGTTGGTGAAACAATTTAAGCTTTAATTAACGGTCGCGTGTATTTGCTGCTGCGGCTGACGGGGCCGCGTTCTGCAGCTCTCAGGGGCTGGTGGTGGTGGGTGGGAGTTACGCGTGGGGCATGCTCCAGGCTTTCACATTACTTAATTCCAGTATCCTGTGGATAAGACTTCCCGAGTCGCTGAACTGCAATATTCATTTATCTTGCTTGACTTTGTGCAGATAACAGTTCCTCAGGGAGAAGAACAGATGACAAAAATGGGAATGGCATAATGGTGCCAAAGAGAGATCAGCTTGGAGGTGGTCGTCCCGTCCCAGAAACAGGTAAGACCGACCACGGGAATTAATTTTGAATTACGTTAGTTTTTCAGTCAGGTGCTATAGCTCCAGATACTTAGTCAAGAATTGAATAGTGCACTTCCATATTCTGAACTCTTCCTACCATGTATGATCATACAGTTTAGTTTTGCAGCACCTAAGTGATAGACTAGCTGTATTTTTGAAGAAAAATTTCAGGTTTTCTCTACCGATTTCTCACTGCGTTAAATAAAGTGTAATTTCTCTTAACCTCGTTGCAGGTGCTGTGTTACCCTTAGCCTTAGGCTTGGCCATCACTGCTTTACTGCTGCTCATGGTTGCTTGCAGACTGCGTTTGGTGAGACAGAAGCTTAAAAAAGCTCGACCCATTACATCTGAAGAGTCCGATTACCTCATCAACGGGATGTATCTCTAAAAATTGGATTTAGGTCAGTTGTTTTCTCCCCTTTCTCCTGTGTCCATGAACCTCTGCCTCTATAAAAGGACCAAAACCTTTAGTTAAGTTTCAAGCATAGAAGCAGCCTACAAGATGAGGAACGCGTTCTTCCCCTTCAGTGATAAAATAAAAGTAGACGCCCTTGCTCAGAAAACAAGAAGCATTCAGGCTCCAGAGAGTAGCTCCGGTTGGCTCTTGGGCAAAGACGCTGCAAGGTGGGGACACCCCAAACCGGCTGCGGGGTGCCCTTGCCCTCCCCGCAGCAGTCGGGGTCCCGGCCGCGGCCCCGGAGC